GCTTAGTCCTGGCAGTCAAGCTGTTATTAACCTTGTGCATTCTCAAAGAGAGAGCAAATCATTTCCCCATCCGTTATCCTTGAAGCGTCCTTAAATGTGAAGACTCTACTATGTCCTCCATGTGTTCAGTTACTTACTCCCAAGTAATTGTGGGTATTGCCGGCAGCCTTTATGATTCCTGGGTGAGCTTAACGACAATCACTGTCTTAATGTATTGTCGAAGGCTTTCATGGCTGGAATCACTAGGTTCTTGTGGGTTTTTTCGGGCTCTAGGGCCATGTTCTAGAGGCATTTCTCCTGACGTTTCGACTGCATCTATGGCAAGCATCCTCAGAGGTAGTGAGGTCTGTTGGAAATTAGGACAATGGGTTTATATATCTGTGGAATGGCTGGGGTGGGGCAAAGAGCTCTTCTCTGCTGGAGCTAGGTGTGAATGTTTCAACTGACCACCTTCATTAGCATTTGAAGGCCTGGCTGAGCCTGGGAAAATCTTTTGTTGAGAGGTGTTAAGATGTGCCTGGTTGTTTCCTCTCTGCTGTTTTGATGTTGTAATTTTAGAGTTTCACTGTCTTAATATTCCTTTGGACTCGATCATTTAATATGCTTCTGACTGATAATTCCTCAGGAAATTCAGCAACATAGGGGAGTTTTCAAGGTTGAGTCTTGCAAGATGATTTCAAGGAAAGGAGAGGTTCAGCCCCGTTTTTGGGCACTTCAGTTCCAGAGTCTGTGCAAGAATGGGCGTGGCAGTCAAAAAAACACCCAGAAGGCTGCATTCTGCTTAAGCGGGCACACACTCATATGCTAATAAGAGGGGGGAAATGCATTCGCTGATTAAATTGCAAGTTTCCTAATGCCATCAATCACTGAGAAAGGGGGTCCTATATGGTGCCAAGGGTAATATGCAAATCTATTTAAATACAATCAGTTAAGCAGAGGCTTCAATTAGTTCTTTAATCCATAGCCAACCCATCTGTGGAGAGAAACAGATCAGCGAAGGCAGTATGTTCCCCACCCTTGCTGTTATTTCAAATGCAATCCACAACTTCACAGCAATCTTTCTCTGCAACTGCGCTGGCTAGACTCGCTGTCAATAATCTCTTTTGATGTCTGGAGTCAGGCTCCTGGGTGTCAGAGAGGCTAGAAATCAGCTCAGTTTAGGTCCAGCTATTTGATACAAGGGGCATTCATTTAAGATGTCCCCAGACCCACTTCTATTTATCACAGGATGCTGAAACTGAACATGTGTAATGATATAAGTCTCTAGAGCAGGGGTCCTCAAACTTTTTAAACCGGGGGCCAGTTCACTGTCCCTCAGACCGTTGGAGGGCCGGACTATAGTTTTTTTAAAAAATCAATTAAAAAATTCCTATTCATATTGCACATATCTTATTTTGCTGTGTGGAAGGGCCCTTAGAGGGGGTTCTTTCTCTAGCCCTCTTTAGGCAGTAATTCCAGGAGCAGAGAATGGGAAATCTTCCTATTTCTAGTCTGAACAAAATCTGGCTACCAGTATTAAAAAAAACTAAAATTATAACTGTAAATAAAGAACAACACTCAAACACAGGGGAACTCCAGACAAGAAACAATCAGGGCCAGCTAATCACCTCTCAACAAAGGATTCTCCCTAAAAAACTGTCAGGCTATGAAATGGTAATCAAGGTGGCCAATTGAAACATTCATACCTACCTCCAACAGACAAGAGTTCTTTCTCCCACCCTGGATCTTCCACAATTTTCCTAGTTAAAGGTTTTCCTCTGACATGAAGTCCAGTCATGTCTGACTCGGGTGTGGTGCTCATCCGCATTTCTAAGTCGAAGAGCCAGCGTTGTCCATAGACACCTCCAAGGTTATGTGGCCTGCATGACTGCATGGAGCGCCGGGGCAGCCTCCCTTGGCAGGCTCACGCTGCCCATCGCGCCCGATGGGCAGCATGAACCTGCCAAGGGAGGAGCAGCCCAGCGTGGCCTACACACGTGTAAAGCACCTCACGAGGTGCTTTACGCGCGAGTAGGCTACGCAGAGCAGCTGCCCTTGGCTGGCTCACGCTGCCCATCGGACCTGACGGATAGCGTGAGCCAGCCAAGGGAGGGGCACTGTGTGTGTGGGGGGGGGCGCTCCCTTGGCGGGCCGGAAGTGGCCTGCGGGCCGTAGTTTGAGGACCCCTGCTCTAAAGGTTACGTGCCAACGCAGAACTGATAACAGTCTTGATTTTACAGGTGCTGAAGTGGTGTGAGGTTTGATAATGGACCCAGTTCCTCATGTTGTGACCTCCAACCATAAAATTATTTTTGTTGCTGCTTCCTAACTGTAATTTTGCTACTGTTATGAATCAGATATGCAGGATGTATTTTCATTCACTGGACCAAATTTGGCACAAATACACAATACACCCAAATTTGAATACTGGTGGGGCTAGGGGCAGATTGATTTTGTCATTTGGGAGTTGTAGTTGCTGGGTGTATAGTTCACCTACAATCAAAGAGCATTCTGAACTCCACTAACAATGGAATTGAACCAAACTTGGCACGCAGAATTCCCATGACCAACAGAAAACACTGGGAGGGTTTGGTGGGCATTGACCTTGAGTTTTGGAAGTTGTAGTTCACCTACATCCAGAGAGCACTGTAGACTCAAACAATAATGGATCTGGACCAAACTTGGCATGGACACTTAGTATGCCCAAATGTGAACAATGGTGGAGTTTGGGGAAAATAGGCTTTGACATTTGGAAATTGTATTTGCAGGGACATATAGTTTACAATAAAACAGCATTCTGAACCCTACCGATGAAAGAACTGGGAGAAATTTCCCACACAGAACCCCCATAACCAACAGAAAAGAGTTTCCTGATGGTCTTTGGTGACCTCTCTGACGACCCCTTGCAACCCCTCCAGGGGTCAGAACTCCTAGGTTGAGAAAGCTGGTTTAGGGTCAACCAAGACTCAAGCGTCAGTTTGGAGGCAGTGAACACAAATTCCATTAGCAATGCCTGGATGAAGGAGGTCATGAAGGAAGTAAAGAATTGAAGAGGCAGTTTGTAACTAGCAGATTTCACCTGCCTACCTTCACAACCTTGAAAATGGCAGCTATAACACTGTAGTACAAACAGGATTTCATTCCTTTCCCCAGCACTGGGCTCTAGCCACCCATTCCAGTTCCACCCTTGGCCAACCCTAGCTCACAATTCCCAAAGCAGTAAACCATTTAATCTGAATCTATCACAGCCTTGATTTAGCTTTATGGGACATCATTGGGCTTGCTTATGGGTAAACAGGAAAGAGACAGGGTATTTCCTGCTGTGGATGACAGGAGTGAACTGGCACTGAAACAAAGGCAGAGGCATACAACAGTCAGGTTGGTGCTAAGATTTCCTTCACCGTCACAACTTTTAAGAATGAGAACTAGGCTCCCACTGTGGTCCATTGTTTTCTCCGCCAGTTCCCTTTCTGCAAGAGCAGATATTCTGGAATTGCAGAGGGGAAAAATCTTCCACAAGGTCAGAGCGTAGACCAAGGGAACAGAAACCGGCAGTTGAGGCAATCCGCAGCTCTCCAAAATTGCACACCGAGGCAGGCGGAGAGGGAGTTTTCGCTGGGTCACCAACACTAAATTGGGAAGTAAGCTACATTTGGAAAAGCAGTAGCTGGAGGCAGGCACAAAAGGAGGGAAAGACAAGCAGCTATTTCAGAAGCCATATGAAACAGTGGTTTTTATTTGTATTCTGGAGGGACTTGTGTAGGGCACTGCTCTTTTTGGTGCGACAGAACGGAAACCAGAGAAGTCCAAACCAATAGGCTTCTTCTCGGCTCTGTAACTTGTCTAATTCATTGTATTAAAACAGGTGGGAGAGGGGGAAAATGGCATAAAGGTCTCAACCAGTGTACTCCAGAGAAGAGTGAGGAATTGTCCATGTTAAAAGCAGCGACGCAAATGCAGAAATCCTCCCAGTTGCAAACTCTTTGTATGAAGGCTGCTTAGAAACAACTAAGAAAACACTCTGTACAACTTCAGAGACATTTTGGTGTTTGAAAGCCCCGAGACTCTAAATGGCTTCTGGTTTTTAAAAAGCTCACATTCAGGCTAAAACTCAACAGAGACTGACTTTGCCATGGCCACAAAACCCTCTGGCTCCCGACTCCCTCTTTCCCTTGCAGCCCCTCAAACACAAATGTAGAAAGTCAGATACAAAATGTTCAGTCATTTTTATTGAAGCAAGAGGCGGTCTCTTTAAAGGAGGCGAGAGAACAGGTTGGAAACAAGGTGTGTGAGGGGAAACTGGCCTGAAACTGGACCAACTCTAAAAGGCAAAGGCTAATAGCCTTCTGAAGGGGAAAAAAACACAAAGAATTTCCTGGTATGCCGGTATCTCCCACATAGCAGAACTGGGAGATGAAGGCCCTTAAAGCTGTTTGCCCATTGGGCATTTTGTGGGACCTGTGGCCCCCAAAAAGGCACATTTCCAAACTCTGAAATACTGATTAAAAGTTAGGGGCACATTTAGGCTTCACGAAGATGTGGGAGGTAGAACCCATATAACTTAAGGTGGAAGACACACAGTTCTCCACATTTCAATTGCAATTCCCAGCATTCCTTACTCTGGGCTGCAGGGAATTGCAGCCTATGCTCCCCTCTGGTCTGATCTCTCATTACAGAAAATTCATTCTTTGCAACATAAATAATTTTCCAATGTCAAAGTGATGACAACTAGCCCTCCAATCTGTTTTTAACACAGCAATTCATTTTTCTTCCAAAATACATTCTTCTGGTGAGAAACCCCTCCATCCCACACCTTCTCCCCCATGTTGACAGTGAATAATGGGGTGAAGGTGTGGATGAGGGGGCGATGACCCTGTGGCGCTCCATGGAGTCCCGTCCCGTTCACCTCTTGGATTCAAGCAGCTGAAATAGAGACAAATATGAAAAGGAAAAAACAATCCTTAAAATCTCAAAATCGCTTATGGTTTATGGCAGATAAATAGGAAAGAGCACACAAAGGATGAGGAGCAAAAGGGAAAAGCTGCAGTTCTTTATTTAAAGTAGGGGTGGGCAAGCACAGGAGCCAATTTTCTGCCCAGGGAGGGCCACAAAGACTACCAAACAATATGGAGGAGGAGAGGAGGGAGCAGAGGTTTCATCTTACAAAATTACAGCACTGTGATTCCACTTTAACTGCCATCATAACTTCCTATAGCATCCTGAGATGTTTGAGGCACTAGAGCTCTGCAGCTGAGGCTCCTTCTGCACTACCACATAAAATCCAGATTATCTGCTTTGACCTGGATTATATGGCAGTGTAAAGTAAAGGTAAAGGTTCTCCCTTGACATTAAGTATAGTCAGTGTTTGACTCTGGGGGTGCTGCTCATCTCCATTTCTAAGCCAAAGAGCTGGCATGACTGCACGGAGCGCTGTTACCTTCCCGCCAGAGTGGTACCTATTAATCTACTAATTTGCATGTTTTTGAACTGCTAGGCTGGCAGAAGCTGGGGCTGACAGCGGGAGCTCACCCCGCTCTCCGGATTGGAACCCCTGACTTTTTAGCCAGCAAGTTCAACAGCTCTGCGGTTTAACCCGCTGTGCCACCGGGGGCTCCATATGGCAAAGTACACTTGTATAATCCACTTCAGAGCAGATGTTTTGATAATCTGGATTATATGGCAGTGTAGAAGGGGTCTGATTCTTCTTGCTACACTTCCTTAAGAGGCAAGTCCCAGATATTTCATAAGATGAAACAATGGTCGTTAAAGGGCAATTATAACCTTATAAGCGTGTGATGGAGAGATCAAAGGCCACAAAAATAGTCCCAGGGGCCACTTACAACCCACTCTTCCAATATAACATGCTAAATGAGAGCAAGAGGAATGATGCCTAATGGAGGGAGGAACTCGTTATAGCTCAGCTAAGCAGACATTGGCTTGACCAAACAAGGTGGTTCTCACATTTTTTATTGAATGGCCACTTCTCCAGAGTTTGCTAGGAAATTACCAGCCCCCCGCCCTCTTAGAGGCCTTCTTTAGCCAGACTGCCAAAGATTCCCAAAGCAGCTTATGCTCACGGGGAGAGCCCCTAATCCTAGCTAACAAGACGGCTCTGTCTCAGAGATGACGACAAAAGAAACACTCGTCATGTCTCGTCTCTTTTGGAGGCACGCAATCTCCAGAAGCACCACAGAATTCTCTGTCAAGATTCCTCAGGAGAGATTAAGGCAAGAACAAGCAGAGCAGGTTGGTTGCAAAAGAAAAAGGGTAGCTCATAGCCACTCCCAATGTCTGAATCTTGTTACCCATCTCAAAGCTTTGAAAAGCATAGAATAATTTTGTATTCTGCTCAGCAAAAAATGGTTACTGTACATAGAAGTGTTTTCTGCAGAAAAGAGAAGTGCACTTGAACCAAAAAACAGAACATTTTTTCCTGCAAAACATAAAAAAATGGGATGGGAAGTGTGTGAGTGTGTGTGAGACAGATAAATATTGGCTTCCATACTGCAAGACACAACCACTGTTGGAATTCAAACCCACAGTGCTCAAGTCTTAAGTCCTCAATGAGGAGCAGTTAGTTTAGTATAGAGCAGGGGTCTTCAAACTAAGGCCCGGGGGCCAGATACGGCCCTCCAAGGTCATTTACCTGGCCCTCACTCAGGGTCAACCTAAGTCTGAAACTACTTGAAAGCACACAACAACAATCCTATCTCATCAGCCAAAAGCAGGCCAACACTTCCCATTGAAATACTAATAAGTTTATATTTGTAAAAATTGTTCTTCATTTTAATTATTGCATTGTTTTAAAGTGTTTTTTTGCACTACAAATAAGATATGTGCAGTGTGCATAGGAATCCATTCATGTTTTTTTTCAAATTATCATCCGCCCCTCCAACAGTTTGAGGGACTGTGACCTGACCCTCTGTTTAAAAAGTTTGAGGACCCCTGGTATAGAGTAAGGGTTTCCCTTCACCCTTGTCTCCTGTATGACAACTGGGAATGTATTTACAGTAGAGTCTCACTTATCCTACATAAATGGGCCAGAAGAACGTTGAATAAGCAAAAATGTTGGATAATAAGGAGGAATTAAGGAAAAGCCTATTAAATGCCAAATTATGGTATGATTTTACACATTAAGCACCAAAACATCATGCTTTACAACAAATCGATAAAAAAGCAGTTCAATACACATTAATGTTATGCAGTAATTACTGTATTTACAAATTTAGCACCAAAACATCACAATGTATTGAAACAGCTGTGGATCCGGGTGGGAGGCAGACTGCGTTGGATAATACAGAACGTTGGCTGAGTGAAGGTTGGATAAGCGAGACTCTACTGTATTTTGTTCTCTCACTCTGTTTCAGCTCTCATTCTGATTGGTTGTCTAAAATGGATACTTTTCTACTGCAAGCCTCTTTGAATCTGCCTTCTTACACTTTAGTATAGAGAGTATGTGCTGTGTGCTTTGAGATCTCTCTCTGCTTGTGTGTCTGGGGAGATGTAGTGATTGAGTTTTTCCCCCTCTCTTGAAACCTTAAAGGAGATGGTTGTTAGAGTAGCTCAGACCCAGTTCTTTATTATTAAGAAATGCAGATATTTCTTATTATTGTAAATAAACCTTTTGTGATTTTTAAGATTAGACTCTGCATGTTTGCCTCCTAAGCTCTTAATTCTTTACATGGCACCTTCACACTTTGCTCACTAATGAGCTGATGCTCAACTTTGGCATCCTGTTTGTTTTTGGATGCTCTGCTTTATTTTAGGGTAGTTTTCTCTAACAGCTGCCACTTCAAGCCAGCCAGCATTCTCAACTTCAAGGGCGTACTTGTTTTGTTGCTAAAAGGGAACATACTCTATCATCTTTCCAGACCACGTCATAGGCTAAGTGCTCTTGCCCAGCACGATCCACTCCCAGCTTATTTAAGCCTCTCTCAAATGAAGAGCATGGTTCTTTCAGAAAAATCATCCAGACGCAAAAAAAAAGGTATTTAAAGAATGAAAGAGAAGAGGAAGGAAGACAGGTCAACGGACAGAAGAGGAAAGGACACAGGTTAATGGACAGATAGTATGGTCCCTCCCTGTCCTCCTCCCTCTGCCAAGGACATCCTGTGCTTTCTAGCTCTAATCTAGCGAGTCAGCTAAACATTCGAGGGTAGCGACCCTGGAGCAAGCCCATCTGTGGCTGGAAGAATTTGTGCCTGAATCATGTCCACGAAGCACAGTATTCCTGGCAGCATGAATTAATATTCGTGGAAAGTGGAGCCTCTTCGATAGCAGGCATGAACAGGAGCTTCTCTCTTTTCCTCCACTGTTTGGATTGAACCAATTTAAGTACGTCTCAAGGACTTGGGTTCGAAAATGCACCAGGATCAAGAGTTCATGGTAAGTGTCAGGTTCCCATTGGATTGTGGGGGTTTTTGGCAGCAAAATTCCCAAGGCTGCCAAGAGGACATAGGGCAACGGCTGTGGTATTCCCCAATTCCTGCAACCTTTCTGCTCTTAGAAGGATTGAAAATTAGTTCTCATAAGACTTAATCTGAACTTTAATTAGGAGAAAGGATAGTTTTTACAATCTGGGCCAAAAGATGGAATGGATTCACTGCCCCACTGATTCAGGGGGAAAACAGAGCTAACGAAAGAAAAGATTATGAATTCTGTGTTGGCTGCCAAGGCCTAGGCAGTTCACATCGGGCTACTGTGGTGATATAAACAGAGACTCCTCCAGTAAGGAACTGTGTCCTGGCTCAATCAAAACAGGATGTCCATAAAGACATTTAGGTGTCTTTACCTTTGGACAGCTGTGCTTTTGTACATTCTCTCTTTGCTGACATGCCACCTGATTTCCTGCCACAACAGAAGAGCCAGGGACTCAGGAAAGGAGGCTGCCAGCCAAACACCTTTTTCCTACGTGGCCTTTAAAGAGCATTGTGCGCCAGGATGACAGTCACGTAGGCGTAACCACACAAACAGCACCAGTGGGTTTTTTTTTCCTGATTATAACCATGTCTCTCAAATTATCAGCAGCAGCAAAACACTTTCGATTTTGTAATCCTCTTCTCAAACTCAGGAGAGCCAAGCCTAAGTCTGCTGCACCCCCTGCCGGCCAGCTGCAGGCACAGGCCAGTGGAAAAACATATATACGAACAAATCAGAAAGAGTCACATTCGGTTTAATGGACAGTTTGAACAGCCCGTCCTACCTGGCTATTCTGAACCCTGCTCCTAATGCACATCCAATATCTCTCTCTGTCTCTTTACCTCTCTCTCTGATCCCAGAAGACAGGAAAGAAGGAAAGAAGGACGGATCAGACAGGAGAAGAGTCCTAAATGAACATGACGAGGTCTTTACATGTTGCTTTTGAGAAAGCAGCCAAGATGCTGGCAAAAACCACATCAGGGGACTGGGAAGCATCAATGGCTGTGTGGATTCCACGCCGGGAGTAGTAGCCAACCAGAGGTGTTGTCTGGGTGTGATATGACTTCAGGCGAGTTTTCAAGGCAGTTTCGTTGTCATCTGAACGGCGGATCAAGGGCTCCCCAGTCACCTGACAAAAAAAAGATACAACTGTTAAAAGATGATCATGGGAGCGCGGAAGTTATCACTCAAGAGTCAGTACACCCAGGGACAGAAGTCTTCACTAAATATCTCCTTGGAGTAAGTAGTAATTGTAGAAACTTCTTTCCCACTGTAAGAGTGGTTCTCAACCTATGGGTCCCCAGATGTTTTGGCATTCAACTCCCAGAAATCCCAACAGCTGGTAATCTGGTTGGGATTTCTGGGAGTTGTAGGCCAAAACACCTGGGGATCCACAGGTTGAGAACCACTGCACAAAAAGAAAGACATCCAAAATCTGCCCAAAATGTACACATGGTTGTTCTGCACATAAAAAGTTTTTGCAGATGAAATGCAGAATTGGAAAGATTCTTGTCGCCTCATAATTCTTCTTGCCACAGTTTATCGTTCCTCTTAAATCATGGTTTCCATGCTTTTTTACATATTATTTTCATCCCTAAGTACACTCAGAAGAGCTGGGAAATGTGGCTGTGCAGATGTTGCTGAACTTCAACTTCCATTGCTCTGTCCATTGATGGCTATGTATAAATATGTGAGGAGAAATCATAGGGAAGAAGGAGCAAGCTTGTTTTCTGCTGCCCTGGAGACTAGGACACACCGGGATTGTGGTGGCACCGGGACTGCGGTGCAACTGGCTGGGAACCAGCTGCATTAAGATCACTACTGACCAAAAAGGTCATGAGTCCGAAGCCAGCCCAGGTCAGAGTGAGCTTCCGACCAATTTGTGTTGCTTGCTGTCGACCTTTGCAACCCAAAAGACAGTTGCATCTGTCAAGTAGGAAATTTAGGTACCACTTATGCGGGGAGGCTAATTTATGATGCCATAAAAATCTCCAGCAAGCATGCAAAGAATGAGGAAGTACTTCCTCAGTGTCACAAATGGATGGTGAAGTGACAGCTCCCCTGGTGGCCAGAATACGCTCATGAAAAGGTTGGAATGTTAAATAGCCTCTGTGTGTCTGTCTATATATGTTGTGTGTCTATGGCATTGAATGTTTGCTATATATATATACACTGTAATCTGTTCTGAGTCCCCTGCGGGGTGAGAAGGGCGGAATATAAATGCAAGCAATCAATCATTAAATTAAATAAATAAATTAAATAAATAAAATGGAAAACTGCTTCAAACTACAGAAAAGGAGATTCCACTAGAACATTAGGAAGAATTTCCCAATAGTAAGAGCTGTTCAGCAGTGGAACTCTCTGCCCCAGAGTGTGGTGAAGGCCCCTTCTTTGAAGGCTTTTAAATAGACTGGATGGCCATCTCTCGGGAGTGCTTTGAATGTGATTTTTCTGCATCTTGGCAGGGGGTTGGACTGGATGGCCCACAAGGTCTCTTCCAACTCTTATGATCTTGCTGACTGAGGCTGATGTGAACAGTAGGACCAGTCAAAGACAATTTGAGCAGTCAAAGACAATTTTAATAAAGCCACATAAAGAGCCAGAGTTTAATACAGGAAGACCACTTACATCATCTTTCATGGCAACCTTTGGAGGGTTGAACTCCTCGTGGTATGAACGACCGCTTGCTGGGTGGATCAGCCTAGAAAAAACTAACAGGAGTCAGTAAAGTTCATTTTTAGATTGACAAGATACAGCCACATATATTCAGAAATGAGATGACCAAGGAGCACCTCAGTCATGATTTACGATGGATGGGAACATTATTTAAATGTTCATAGCACATCTTACGGACATCCCCTCCCAGATCCATGTACTGGTCAAGAAGAATAAACGTTTTAGAATTAATAAGATGACCCCCTGTAGGGTCCTCCAAGGGATGCTGGACTAGAGATCAAGACCCATGGTGGCAAACCTTTTAGCGACCGAGTGCCCAAACAGCAACCCAAAACCTCAGAGTGCCTCACACAACAACTCCCAGGATTCCAAAGCAGTTAAAGCGGTATCAAACTGAATTAATTCTACAGTGTAGATGCACTCCTAGAGTAAGGGAAACTAAAGCCCTCAAAGTTTCAAGCCCTGACTTCTGCTTTCTGCTTGTTTCAAAAGCCAGCCGGGTGATGAAATATCTAAAGGGGAGGTAGGCACCGAGAACTACATTTCCTAGGGAGCCACGCCATGAAGGGGGGGCATGGCCAGCGACAGCCAACTGTTGCCCTCTTTTGGGAACAGCTACGTCTGTGCTGGTGATGGAGTTCATACTCACGGAGAGTGCTCTGAGTGCCCCCTCTGGCACGCATGCCACCACTGATCTATGTTATGGTTTGACAATGTGTGAAGAACAACAGAAGCTTAGCCCTTTTGTAATTTCATATGAGCAACACAAGTAGGAGCAAAACATAAATTTTATTCTTACGCAACAGAGTTCAAAAACCAGTAACATCAACACAAACTTAGAATCATAGAGTTGGAAGAGGCCTCGTGGGTCATCCAGTCCAACCCCCTGCCAAGAAGCAGGAAAACTGTATTCAAAGCACCCTTGACAGATGGCCATCCAGCCTCTGCTTAAAAGCTTCCAAAAAAGGAGCCTCCACCACACTCCAGGACAGAGAGTTCCCCCGCTGAACAGCCCTCACAGTAAGAAAGTTCTTCCTAATCTTCAGGTGGAATCTCCTTTCCTGTAGTTTGAAGCCATTGTTCCTCGTCCTATTCTCCAGGGCAGCAGAAAACAAGCTTGCTCCCACCTCCCAATGAATTCCCCTCACATATTTATACATGGCTATCATGTCTCCTTTCAGTCTTCTCTTCTGCTGGCTAAGCATGCCCAGCGCTTTAGGCTGCTCCTCATAGGGCTTGTTCTCCAGAATTTTGATCATTTTAGTTGCCCTTCTCTGGACACATTCCAGCCTGTCAGCATCTCCCTTAAATTGCGGTGCCCAGAATTGGACACAGTATGATTCCACATGTAGTCTGACCAAGGCAGAATAGGAGTAGCATGACTTCCCTGGATCTAGACACTATACTCCTTTTTATGCAGGCCAAAATACCATTGGCTTTTTTAGCTGCCGCATCAAATTTTTGGCTCATGTTCAACTTGTTCCCCATAAGGACTCCAATATCTTTTTCACACGTACAGCTCTAGAGCCAGGTGTCCCCCATTCTGTATATTTGCATTTCATTTTTTTCCTGCCGAAGTGGAGTATCTTGCATTTGTTGCTGTTGAACTTCATTTTGTTGGTTTTGGTCTATCTCTCTAATCTGTTAAGACCATTTGGAATTCTGCTCCTATCTTCTGGAGTATTGTCTATCCCTTCCAATTTGGTGCACTATCCCTCCCAATAATGCAATACTGCATAGTACAATCACAGACCCCGGAGTAGCACACTCACGTATCGTCCTTGAATTTAACTCATGTCATTCTTCCTACAGAAAATGTTTCTCTTCCCATCTTTCTTTCTTTCTTGGACATGGAGATGAGCATAAAAGATAAAGTTGCCTGCATCAAATAGGCAGCAAGCCAGGAGCTAAGGTGGAGTAAGCTCAGGAGCAAACATTCAGTAAGCCCAAAGTTGAATTACAAACAATCTCCAGTTATACCCCTACGGGAGCGGCCCAAACTTGCTAACCTTAATTATACCATTCACCAAACCTGTGTATTGTAATTAACCAGGGTGAGTCTTTTTCTCTTAACACACACACACACCCAGTAGTGATCCCACTAAATCTTAGCCAGTTCCTTACTTATACTGTGATAATCCATTCCAGTGGTTCTTAATCTGAGGGTCCCCAGATGTTTTGGCCCTCAACTCCCAGAACTCCTAACAGCTGGTATACTGGCTAGGATTTCTGGGAGTTGTAGGGCAAAACACCTGGAGACCCACAGGTTGAGAACCACTGATCTAGACAGTGTGACCAATGGCAAAGGAAACTGGGAATTACAATCCAGAAGGTTGTGTGATCTCCATTCCTGCTGGATGTCACCTATTACAAAGGAAATGCCACCAAAGATTTTCCCAAAAGGAGACCCACTTCGCGATTACCTTCCAGTAATTCTTCGGATCAGCAAGGAGTCAGGGACACTGAATTCAATAACAGAATCTAGCTTCTCTTTTCTTTTATCCATGAGTTCATCCAGCTGCAGGAGATCAGTGAAAAAAAGGAAGGAAAAATGCTTTTAAATGCCTCAAGGAGAAAATTCTATTCTCGTCCAGCAGCTCTTCTCTGATGAAAAATTGTCAGAAATGGGAAGTAATGAAAACCAAGCTAAATCAAAACCGGTGTGGCCCCCAGTTCTGTGGGTGCTGACCTGTCTCTATTGAGGTGAATGAAATCTGAAAGTCTGCGCAAGTTGCAATTCAGTATTTAAATAGTCAGAACCTACCTACTCTAGGCAGTCCAATATCGAAGAATGCTAGCTTTTCAAAATGAGGAGTGGTCTTCTTCTGGATTTGTTTGAGGGGACAGCTATTTCTGTGAGGCCTCAGAGTGTCTGCTCATATCTGTCTATCCTTGAAGCCCTAAGGAGACTAAAAGCCCATCTCTTACCATCTCCGCTTGGCGCACAGTGCGGGGGAACCCATCCAGAAGGAAGCCATTTTTGCAGGGAGGGGTCTCCAGGTTGTTCTCAATCAGCTCCACCACCATTTCGTCACTCACCTTATAAAAGGCAAGGAAAGAAAGTCTTGGTTACAGTGCCCCACAGTGGCAAAATAATCTGAACGGATATATGGATGGCCTCAGTGGCACACATGCTTCGTGTAGGATTTGATAAGTGCTCTGAGCTTGGGATAAAAGCATTGTTGTTCCTGTTTACATTTGGAAGATCTCTAAAAGAGATCTCCCAAACCAAGATAATTATCACTGTCAGTTCAATTGCAAATGAGAACGAGCTACATTATTTACTATAAATATGGCATGTCACTTCCTCATGATTGAAAATGCTACCATTACCACTTATCCGAAGGCAGAGGCGGGAGGCCAGGCAAGATAGATTATGGGCTCAGGCAGAACAGCAACATTATCTAGAATAACCAGCCAGCTCCATAACACTCCTGCCTCTCCTCTCGCACTGATATCACCATGAAAGCTGGGAGCAAAGGCTGCAGATAAGCAATCCATAAAACTCTGAACAAAGCTGTGTTTGCAAGCTGTCAGTGGAACACAATAAAATGCAGGTGAAGAAAAGGAGACCCTAAATCTGGCTCCAAAGAAGACTATGGCTGCTTCTACACTGCCATATAATTCAGATTATCAAAGCAGATAATCCCTTTGGGGCACTACCGATTTGTTCTAAAAGGCATTTTAGACCAGTGGTTGTCAACCTGTGGGTCCCCAGATGTTTTGGCCTTCAAGAAATCCTAACAGCTGGTAAACTGGATGAGATTTCTAGGAATTATAGGCCTAAACACCTGGGGACCTACAGGTCGAGAACCACTGTTTAGACATATATAGCTTGCTGAACCTAATTTTGAGTTATCTTTATTGCTTTACATTTTTAATTATTTTACAAATGTTAGCATTGATTTGGCTTGTCTGATGGAGGGCGTGCTGTTGTTGAGTCCCTTGAAGTTGGCTTTCCACCTACGGCAAAGTTAAGATAAACTTTAAATTGCTTTGTTTTCACTTACCAAATTGTTTAATATGGATTCTATACTTTGCTTAAGTTTCCTTTTGTAGTTTTACCTTAAGTGAATCTGATCTTAGTCGATCCCATGGTAATAAGGTAAGAATCAATATATTTGACCAAATCATGTTAATGTTTTCTCTAATATACCTTGGCATCCTGTAAAATTGGACCAGCTATAAATATTTTTATTATCTGTATATCCATCTATTTCTAGAAATGCGAAAGGTTCAAGGCAGCTGTTTGGCACCCACCAACTTCCCAGCATCCATTGTTGCTTTCAGCCGCTTTCCAAGCTCTGATCCAGTGGCCACCATGGCCCTCAGCATGTCTCCCGTTGCCAAGTGGCACACGCAGTAGGTTTCAGCAAGCCGGGGAGCCTGAAATGAGAAGGAAAAGAATGTAATAACTGAGCCACCAGACTAGGGATCAGCCCATAGGGCAAAACAGTCTTTCCTTTGGGTGCATTTCACCCATGAGATTTTACAGCATTGGTGGAAGCATTCTGTAGGGTACAAAGAAATTGATTTAGCCTGGCCGCAGTGGAGCAATGGGCTGAACTGCTGACCTGAAGGCCCGCAGTTCAAATCCACGAGACGAGGTGATCTCCTCTCTGTCAGCTCCAGCTTCCCATGCGGGGGCATGAAAAAAGCCTCCGACAGGATGGTAAAACATCCGGGTGCCTTCTGGGCAATGTCCCTGCAGACAGCCAATTCTCTCAGACCAGAAGTGACTTGCAGTTTCTCAAGCTACTTCTGACACGAAAAAATAAGCTTGACAATGGGGAACAGAGGTAGGGAGAGACCATTCAGAACACGAAGAAACAGCTGGACTTAGCTTGATCACATGGAGAAATGAATGGACCCACTTTGTTCTTCTGCAATGAGCTCAAAGCAGCCAAACCATCATGGTCTAAATTGCACATCCATCTTCCTGTTTGGTAGGAAAATACAAAAGCAACCACTTCCAGGACTTCAGGCTGCTGGAAGGTGGGAGTCTTTTGTGTGAAGCACAATTGCAAAAGAACAGACTTATAGGACCTGTAAAAAGGACTTAATACATGTATGTCACTAACAGGATGCTGGCTATTATGTGCCCCCCTCTTTCAAATATTGTTTAATCTTTTTTTTTATCATACTGTTTCTGAGTATTTATGTGCACAGAAGTCACCCCTCTCATTAGGAAGCCATTTTGTGGGTAGGGTCTCTCTAAAAAACAGGATATCCATGTACAGAGAGAATAAATGACTGGTGCCAATGTCGGAACCACACAAGTGAAAAACATATACTAGCTAGACCATGAGACATTTTGGATGTTACAATTCCTCTAAGTGCAGAAGTTTCCTGCTCCTAAAACTCACATTGGCCTTTCATTAGGAGTGATGGAGAACTGAAGCAATTTCTTCAACCTGGTAACCCACCTTTGTTCTTGGCATGCCACCTGGAGTTTGGGAATTCCAATGCTAACAGATTTTACACATGGATAGGCAGAAAGGAACCGGTCTCACGAGAAAATAAGTATTAAAAATAACACTCAACAGGCGTTTTTTTTTTCAAACAGACAAAAGCACCCCACCCAAAATAATTCAACAAGCAATTTCCTTGCTTTTGAAATGGAGCCAAATGTGATTGCTTTGGAACACAGCAAAAGAGAGTCAGCATGGGGAGATATATATATATATATTACATACACACATATGAGAACTTACGAAATGTTCTCCTTTGCAGGCCTGACTGGCGCCAACATTAGTTTCTTTTCAGCACCAGGTCAAGATGTGCCTTTTAATTAAAACCTTTGGGAGTCTAATTCATTTTCAAGATCAAACATGTTTTTAAAACTCTTGTGAGTTTTTAAAAGTTGCTTTACCATGTTTGAATCATTTACTGTGTTTCTATATCATTCTTTATTGCAATGGTTCTCAACCTATGGGTCCCCAGATGTTTTGGCCTTCAACTCCCAGAAATCCTAACATCTGGTAAACTAGCTGGTATTTCTGGGAAATGTAGGCCAAAACACCTAGGGACCCACAGGTTGAGAACCACTGCTTTATTGGCTCTTGGGATTTGTCTTAATTGTTTACATCACGCCATCTGTTTGGGATCTTGGATCAAAAGGGCAGGACAGATAATACCTTAATAAATACGATAATTGCAATTAGTTACTGACACTGCAACAATTGCAGTCAAAGAACAATTAAACTGCACAGGTCCATTTCTGCTTTTGGAAAACAATGGCATTAATGGGTTGCTGTGAGTTTTCCGGGCTGTATGGCCATGTTTCAAAAGCATTCTCCCTCTTCTGAAAAATGGGCATACAGACCGGAAAACTCACAGCAACTCAGTGATTCCGGCCATGAAAGCCTTCAACAACTCAATGACATTAATTTCAACCAAACAAGGAATACAGGTTGCAAATCTCTCACCCAGAAGTCAATAATCCTCCTATCTACATTCCAGCAATTCAAACATATAATTTGAGCATATTAACCTTCTCTCTTTAAAATCTATTTACTACAGGCAGTTCCTGAGTTACAAACATCTGACTCACAAACGACTGCTAGTGAAGAACGAGGCTGAGACCACAGGAAGTGAGAGAAATCTACCCTTTGGAAGGGAAATCCACTCCTGAAAGAGTTATCATGATGGGAAAAGGTGTCTCTACGGAAGCTTTTTCTTCAGTCCTTTTTTCCACAACAAGCCAATTTTTCCAAAATCCAATTCTCACACGGACAGAAAGTGAAGTGAAATTTTCTGAACAGGGGCACAGACAGCAAAACAAATACAACAGGGGGGTTCAGTCTTCCCTATGCTATCCAAAACACACACACACA